ACGGTATAGTTAAGGTTGATGAATGCAGAATACCTGCAATTGATAATGCTGACGCAACAGTATATAGCCCCTTCAGCTATGGGATACCAGTTGGAAGAGGTAGCATCGTAAGTGTCGGAAGTATTTTGCTAGTCAGGTGTAGATCTGGTTATATTGTCCAGTCAGTCACGCCTGGGACGGTCCAAATCGCAACGTGCACAAATACAGGGTGGAACAGGACGATATTAAGTTGTGGTGAGTAACAACCTATTTATGCGTCTGAATATATTGAAATATAAGAACGGTTGTTGTCATTATCACTATTATTATTATTATTATTATTATTATTATTATTATTATTATTATTATTATTATTATTGATATAATAATATCGGATAATCATTATCATCGTTTCCTCCTCCTCCTTTTTATCCTCCTCCTCCTCCTCCTCCTCCTCATCATCACAATCGTCATCGTCACTTTGTATTTTCATATCACCATCGGCATTTTACACGATCGATCATCATATTTGTCAACATCTTGTCTGAATATATAGTGAATATTATTATTATTATTATTTTTGATATAATAATATCGGATAATCATCATCATTGTTTCCTCCTCCTCCCTTTTATCCTCCTCCTCCTAATCATCTTGTCTGAATATATAGTGATTATTATTATTATTATTATTATTATTATTATTAGTCGTCAATTTTTACTTATTTCGAGATAGCTTCGAATGCAATGTTAATTATGTTATTTTGTTTCTTATGAAATATTAGTTCAATTGAAATAAGTGAACTATGTAGGCCTAAAAGTTTGTTAGCAGTACGTATTTCTTTTTTTCATTTTTCAGCCTAGGCCCAATTTGAAGTTTCTGACTGACATGAACGCAATCCAGTGAAGTTTATAATGCGTGTGTTAATTACGATAGGAATCATCTGAAAGTATCGCGATATAATGATGATAAATAATAGGTATTGAAAATAGCATTTGATAAAAATATTAACTGATAGGATATTCTTAAATGGGTGGAGTATGAATGCACAAAGAGATGAAAACAGATATTAATACAGTTTACACAGTACAGTATTTTGATTACAGAATCTGAGCTAGGTGCGAATACTTGTATTTTAAAATTCGTTTCTTATTTCATAAAATATTTGATTGGATTTCAGATTTCCAAAAAAAAAAAAAAGAAGATATTTTCTACTACTTAGTTGATATGATTAAATTGCATTAATAGCACTATTGATTGGGTATTTTTTCCCAACAGTCAATAAGCAAGGCTCTCTATAGAGGCAAGGTCCGAGTTACACTGAACGCAATTTCAGTGCGTGTCTTCCAGCTTATAAAATATTTGCAATAAAAAAAAAAAAAAAAAAAAAAAAAAAATACTGGCCATCTAAATAAATTAGAAGGCATATGTAAAAATAGAATTATTAATGATTTAACGAATGTGTTGCATATTCCAAGCACCCTTTCTCAGAATGTATTTTATCTATTGTTTTTGAATGAGGTCCAACATTATTTAATATCAAAAGTGTGGCATAATATATTTTCATGCCTGAATTTTCTTGTAAATTGACTTTGTCGATCGTGGCAGAACGAGTATAAACTGTTATTTGAATGTCGTCGACCTACTTCAGCAATAAAATATAGCTAGGTTTAGCCATTTTTCTTTTTCGTTCATAAAATTAATTTGTATCTGTTTGTGTATATACAATATTTACATGGCTTATTTGATAAATTAAATTAAATTAAATTGTACACCAAATAGCCTAGTGTTCGTTCTTCTTTTACTATTATTTAATAGGTCATAGTTCACTGAACATTCTTCATTTATAAAAATATTGATATAGGTCTAAAACATTTAGAAATTTAAAATTTTAATTTACTAACAGACACCAAATCGATTATTTAAGGTTGAGCTAACACTTGTTGCCAAGCGAATTTCAATAAACAGGCCTAGCCTATGTATAAAAAAAAAAAAATGAAAACTTTTCGGTTCCCCTTCCAGGATACCCGTGTACACGCATACGCAAGGCCTAATCATAAAAAGACAAAAAATAAAGAACAACAAGCAAAATATCGGCACCGAAAAAAGTACAGTGCACCTCCAATTTGAGACTCCCTCTAATTCCGAGACCCTTCTAATTCGAGACCACGTGGTCAAGAAACCAAATTACAATCTTCAATTTATTATTACTAAGCTAACCCTCTATGTAGAGACCGAACGCCGAGACCGCCACAAATGTTCAGGTTCCAAAGGTGGTCTCGAATTCGAAGGCGAGCAGCTAGCCTACGTTTAATCATGGTTTAATCCTCTGAAAAACAATAATGCGAACAAACTGGTGCTCAATCAAAAAAACGAGCCAGACCGTTTGTAACCAGTTTCACTTCTTACAATTTGCATGGGCCGCTCAGTTCGTTTATTCTCGTTGCCGAGTGACAGGATGCTTACTATTCTTCCATAAACAGCGGCGTACTATTTGAAGAGGTAAAGTACACTTTCTTTTGTTTGTTTCCAAAATTTTGCTAAAAGGTGATCTTAAGCTCAATGTTACAATATATAATTATAAGCTAGGTTACCATCATTGATTAATAGGAAGGCCAGGCCCAGCTTAGGCTAGGCCTTTAGCCTGCTACTAACGGTTACTGTAACTAACTAGGCTAGTTTAGGGCCAGGCCTAGGCCCTAGGCCTAGCCTCCTATAGCCTAGGCCTAAGCTCTCGGCTAGGCCTATGCCTAGGCCAAGGCCTAACCCCTAGCCAGGCCAGGGGAATTGAAAGACACAGAGCCAGGGCATGAAAAGTAGTTGTTTGGCTAGATAGACTCAGTAGGCCTAGCCTAGCTAGCCGCCTAGCCTAGGCCCTAGGCCAGCTCTCTCTTATTAGTTATACAGACAGGCGCGGCAGGACTATCCCAGAGCTAAGCCAGGACATAGAAAGAAACCTAGAATAGATAGGAAGAGACGTGGCACCAAGTAACATGGGTAGGCCTAGGCTGGATTCTCTCGAGTAGGCAGGAGTCGAGTAGGCAATCAGGATTTTTTCTCACAACCAAAGACAGCTTCACTCTGCATAAGTAAGTCTTATAAAACAGTGAGCCTTTGGCTTTTCTTTTTATGTATGTAGGACATCTTGTTTTATGTCTTGTGAAAGGAATTGCCACCGTGATGAGTAGGACTTTATTTTAAAGTTTGTTATTTGCAGTCTTTGACCCGTGTCTACATAATGAACACACACTTCATTACTTTATTTGTTTCTGTTTTTGTGCAGCACTTGATGTATTGCTGCAGTAATACTAGGATCAAGTATTTTAAATATGTTAGCTGCTGAATTACAGCTACAAGGGGCCTTTGAAGAAGCTGCTTGTAAAACTTTTGATGGTCATAAAGATGAGGTGAGAAACTTTTAAGCGAAAGCAGTACACCATAATAGTATGTGTGTTTTTGCTAAAAATACCAATTTTGGTTCCATAATTCTATAATTGCCATCTTGCCACCCAAACAAGCGTCACCCTGAGAGTTCATAGGCAAGGTACTCACAGACTTGGCCTATCTAGCCTTCTATGAGTAATGAAATGGGCAAGGCTTATGGTGAGTGTGCGTAGGTGAAAAGGGAGGGCTTGATGATTAAGTGAGGGGCACCAGCTCGCAAAATAAAGAATATTGAAAACGGATTTCATTAACTTGTAACTTATTAAAAGTTCGCGTTTTAATGAACAATTCAAAATCATATATTAATCTAGAATGCTCTTCTCTTTGTTTTTGGGGAGCAATTAAATAAAATCCAATCTGTTTACTATTTTGTAGGTAAATTGTTGTGCGTTTTCCCTTGATTGGGAAATACTGATAACAGGTTCGGATGATGGCCGTGTGCGTGTTTGGAATAATGTAACAGGACAGCTTGTTTGCCGGTTTAAAGGCCACAAAGGTAAAGTTGGATTTCTAGGTTTTGTTTCATTTCATTTAAGTGTAATAAATAAATAAAAAATATAGTGTAGACAGGCAAGTGGTAGAAAAACTATTATTCAGTTATTTTATTTAATGTAACAATCTTTATAATTGACAACTAGTATATAATTTTTACTCTTGCTTCTTACTTCTTTTTAATTGTTTTTACTAGTACAATTTATTTTATCATTAATTATTATTATTATTATTATTATTATTATTATTATATATTGTAAGTATATATTTTTACTGCAGTTTTGATGTTGTTATTTTTATTGTTTTCCCTTGTTTTAATTAATGACTTAACAACTCAGTTTTGTAATTTGGATTTAGTTCTGTACAAATTTTGAATTGAATAACGATTTCGAGATATATATGTTCATTCCATTAACCAAAATTTTACTAAATTCACATTTTTGAAAGGCTCTATTAAGAGTGTTTGTATCACATCGGATAGTAAATACATTGCAAGTGCTTCGTATGACAGGACTGTTATTATTTGGAAAACAAGGAATGCGGAGATTATCCATATTCTCAAAGGTAAATAAAACCAAAGTGAAGGTAGAATATTGTGTATCTTAAACTCTGTCCACAGTATAAAATTTTCTTTGACAAAAACACTGTTGTTTGCCTATATATGGTCATGTGTGATGTCATCATGACCATATTTAGACATGTCACATTGTGGGATGTGCCCATATATGGACATATTACACTCAAATATGGGCATATCATCACATTATTTGTCACATAAAATTTGATAGTGATGACAGAGCTTATAAGCATTAAACACCACACTTTATACAGCGCTTCTTATGCACCACTATTTTTCCCATATGCACCACCCATTTGGCACCACCCCTTTGGTACCACCCTTATGTACCACACCATTTACTTTTATGCATCACGCAAATACACCATATATGTACCACATTCAGCACTCTAAGTCCACCAATGGTTATCAACATGATTTCATTGGAAAATGCTAATTGTCTTTAGTGCAAGTTTTTATTATTAAATTAGTGATGTACAGTACTTCATACAGGGATTTGTATTAATTTATTTTTTAATGTAACAAAATTTAGCTTGTACTGTATCTTGTTACTTTTTTACAATAAATTATGTTGTACAGTACTGATGAAACACTGTATGTTTCCTGTATATCATATAAATGCTTGTATACTGACAGTGTGTATTGTGACATGTGTTGTGAATTTGGCTCGGTCGAACATTCCGCTCGATTTTGCTCTGTTGCGGCCGGAAAATATATAAATAACATTCTAAAATCTGCATCTACCTATCGGCTTTAAATTTGAAGAGGACTGAGATACTGTACATATAACAGTGTCAGTGTGTGAAAATGTAAAGTACATAAGAAACATGAAGTCTGGTAGTTTTTGAGTTATGCACCCGGAAGGACACACACACACCCAGACACAGTAAATGCAGATGCGCACTATTGCAATACCCTTCAGCTTTCCTTCGGAGGGTGTGGGTAATAATGATGGGTAAATGTAGTGATTTTGATCTTGATGTTTTCATATTGTTTTAGGGCACTCAAGGAGTGTGGAAACAGTATCTTTCTCTCATGATGGATCTCTCCTCTGCTCTGGTGGCTGGGACCAGGAAGCCATACTCTGGAGAGTTCAGGTGAAAACTTCATCTACATGATTTATAAAGAGTACCACAGTCGTGTCGTCACAACGCCAGGTGGCGCTCTCTTTTGTCAACAGACGTAGGGTAGCGATCATTACACCTGAATCACTGCATAGGCTTCCTGGAATAGGCATTTTAAAATCTAATATTTTACCATCAAAATGTACTAAAAACACAAAAGCTCGCATTATATTAGTTATCGAACACACATTTAATCATCAATTAAAATTTACAAAGAAAAAGTAAGATACAACATCTTAATAATTACGTTAGAAATTGGAATCAATGGTTTGTTAGTGGCGAAAATAGTGTCGGGTTGAACGCATTATGCAACGATAGCAAGGGAGTAGTATCACATGGTATCGTGACGTAACACTGTAGTACTTTATAACTATCTAGGGGCAGATACTGAACTTCTGAAACAGATAATACAAAGGTATAGCCATGCTGTATTTTAGTCGTGTCATGATCTAGAATAACATACTGTACATTTTTTTTTCATAGGAAGGATCTGTAAAGAATGTTTTTACAGGTCACACCAACCTTGTACAGTGTTCTGCTTTCTCCTATGATGATAAAATCCTGGTGAGTATGCTTTTTCCTCCATATGATGTCCTATAATGTAGCTGTCTTGTAATTACAACATGAAATACAATGTGTATGTAAAGTTATGTGGTGTGGTAGGCCACCCTAATAAACTATCATCAAACGATAAACACTTGAAGGAAGTTGGTAGTGCGTGTTGATTTAGGGAAGGTGGAGTGAAGGGGATATGGATGGGAGAGAAAAATTCCATGAAATTAACAAAAATTATCCCATTTCTTTACTATAATTCATGTGGGTTTCTGTAGGCTACAGGATCTTGGGATTATACTGTGAGAATATGGAAACTGGCAAAGGACTTACAAATGCCAGAGTGCCTTGTGTTAAGTGGACACACTGCAAATGTGTTCACTTTATGTTTCTCCAAGCTTGGTTTGCTGGTAAGGTATTTATTAGTATATTAGTATGGTTTAATTTTACCATTCATATACATGTACTGTACATTTGCTTCATTTAAGGACTTTTCCAGAACTAATTTTCCACTAATAACATGTGCATTGGTATACAGTACCTCAGTTGCATAATTGACTTATTTAGATATGCCCTTAAATAAATGAATAATATTTAATGTAATGATATGATTTTACTCATATCATTATATATTCATTATTCATATAATTTTAGTACTATCACTATCAATGTTGTTATGAAGTTTATTATTCTTTGTTTATTATAATGTTATTGCTCTGTCCTCATTATTGTTATTTATACTGTAGTATTTTTCTGAGCTAATATCAGTGTTATTAATTGTATCCTTTTTTTTGTTGACACTGTATGCAAGGCTTCTGGTTCGTGGGATAACACAGTACGCACTTGGAACCCTCGGACTGGTGCTGCAATCCGTGTCCTTGAAGGCCATTCGGGTTGGGTGAGGGCAGTGTCATTTACTTCTGATAGCACCATGCTGGCTAGTGTTAGCGATGATGAAACGGTCAGTTTATTACTCATTTTGATAATAATGTACATAATGATGATTGTAATTAATGCCTATTTTAAAGATGTACTTCCTCCCAAAAAATAAAAAGAACCATATAATGTTGAAATAATAATTAAAATTGCTCATTCAAAAGAAACACATAAATTATCAACAGTTGCATATGAAAATATCAGTAGTTTTAAGTGATTTACACATGTTTTACTACATAAGTTCTTGAATTTGCTGGCATTTAAGCCAGGCTTCCAGAAAAAAAGAAAATTATTTATTATACTATACAAAAGAATATTCTAATACACTGAAGGGGTGTTTTAAAAAAATAATCACGAATGGATCATATGATACAGATTTTTTGAATATTAAAAACTGGGAAAAGGAGAGGTGATGATGATGATTAGGTGAGGAGGCGGATGAGGATGACAGGGATGATAATTATGAGGAGGGTGATAAGGATGATGAGGATGGTGATGATGAAGATGATGACGATGGCAGTGATGGTGACAGCAAAAGTGATGATGGTGGCAGTGGCTGTGGTGGTCAGGTGATGATGACAATGATGAAAATAATATAGATGTTTTTCATTAAACAATGGAACAATTGAAAGAGATACTCATATTTGATTAAATTAATTTTTCTTTTAAATTTAATATTATTTTCTCTACACTTGTAGATTAGGATTTGGGATGTTATATCAGGAGAGTGTGGTAAGACAATCAAGGTATGTATCTGATAAACAACAAGTATTCTATTGCATTCTATATGACCAGGTAACTTGTTGTTCTACTGCATTTCATATTGCCTTCTATTATATGTAATGTAATGTACAGTAGTTGGATTTATGTATCGCTTTATACCGAAACAGTTTCAAAGCGCTTGAGGTGTGGACAAGTTTGTGTTGTGACTTCCTTCTCCCCTAAGGATTTCTATGTGTCTGAGCTACCCACTAAATTCGGTGCCAGCTACTCTCGTCTGTCCACAACAGGGCCTGTATGGACCAGTACACCGGAGTAACCTCCTACTCGTCTCGAAAGGTATACTGGGTTCTTTAAAGTGTACATAAGCCAAATTGTGTACACTGGGCCTAAGAATTCTATCGCAAGAACAATAGGCGAGAGCTTAGCATTCATGCCAGTGTACCTTGCAGCACCCCAGCCTGAACCACTCGGCCATCCGACTATTATATTGTATATCCCAAGTATAATGTTTTATAGAAAATCTTACCATAATATTCTATTTTAATTTCTCACATTGTTTTTCCTGAAAAGAGAGAATATAAATCTTGAACTTTGCGAATTATTTTTCTTTTTTACAAATTACAGGGTGAAGTTGAACAGTTACAAATGTGTTCTTTCTCCCTTGAAGGAGGTTTAATTGTTTCTGGCGCCCTCACATCTTTTTTTAAACAGCATGCTGGTGAGAAAGAAACTAGTGATCCATATGTTACCAGTTGAACAGAAGAAAAGTGAAAAAAGAAAGAAATTACCTTTTAGGATATAATCAGTTTTTTCTGAGAACTTTCGAAAATTTTTATTAAAAATTTGATAATAAAAGAAAAAATTTGCTACGACATAGAGAAAAGAAATGTTTTAATATATATGAACATATGTTCTTTGCAATAAATTTACATTTAATATCTCACACATATGGAGTTTTTCTTTATTATGTCTAGATCAGTGGGTGGTTTCATTATAAAACCAACACAATAGATTTCTGTTACATTTTTGAAATTCTGTATTCAACTGCTAATAAAAAAATAAAGTCAATCACAATTGTAAAATGGAGCAAAAATTTATAATAAAACTACTCATAAATCTTTCATAATGTAATGCGTCTGAAAAACTGAAAGGTCCACTGATTAATCTCAGATAAGAAAGTATAATACATATTCCAAATATTGAAATACACGCCATCCTGTTGGGATTCAATATTTCGACATTAATTATGTCATCATCAGGAATTCCTGATGATGACATAATTAAATGTCGAAATATTGAATCCCAACATGATGGCGTGTATTTCAATACTTGGAGTATGTATTATACTTTTGTAATGTGTCTGAATGTGATGTTTCCGAAGATAAGTATTTGGGAGTCTTTCTTTTAATTAAAAAGAAAAACAAACCATTTTTATGGTGGTTTACAACTGGTTTTTCTGAGACATGAAAAGGGCATTAAATGAAGAACTCGAGAATGGTTAATGAGATGCAGATTTTTGAATTTTCTGTCGGAAGCAGGTGGGAAATAGGGTGGTTACGCCCCTTTTACCCAGTTTTCAAATATTTAAATTTATCTCATTAACCCTTCACAATTTTCTTTGTCAAAAACCTTTGCGTCTCTAAACCCCTGTCCAGAGTATCACATGTGACATGCCTAAATATGGTCATGATGACATCACATCATTACCATATATAGCCACATCATGACTATATATGGTCACATCATGACTATATGGGCACATCATGACTATATATGGGCACATCATGACTATATAAGAGCACATCATGACTATATGGGTACATCATGACTATATATGGGCACATCATGACTATATATGGGCACATCATGACTATATATGGTCACATCATGACTATATGGTCACATCATGACTATATATGGGCACATCATGACTATATAAGAGCACATCATGACTATATGGGTACATCATGACTATATATGGGCACATCATGACTATATATGGGCACATCATGACTATATATGGGCACATCATGACTATATGTGGGCTTTCAACACAAAAATTAGATAGTGTGGACAGAGCCTTAGAAAATCCAGTTGTACAACATATCAAAAAACAATCCATGTTTTGTGTCGTATAAAAATCAGTTGTGCAGCATTTCAAAAAAAAATTTTCCCTCTGGAAGATGGCTTTAAGTATAAATATTCACAAACAGTTTATGGAAAAATAGTTACACATTAAATTCCAATTATCACAGACATCGAACAAAATGAAATTAAAATAATTAAAAGGTGGATATTAAGTGTTGCCACCATCGGCATAAGCTGTCTCTCATTTCATTTCTAAAAAAACTCGTTTCTGTGGATTCGAACAATTGACAGAATTTCTGTCTGCCCTATAATTTCAATAATTTAATGATACTGAAATGTAGTAAAATTAAATTTGTACCTCACACGATATATTATAATGTAATTTAATTATTGTATCTAGATCGACGATAATTTATAAATGTACGATCCACATGATGGAATTAAATCTGGTAAAAAGTTTTATACTTAGTGGTAACTCCTAATTGTAAAATCAATGACAATAAATGGTATTATGTATAAATCTCTTTGAATATAATGTGTTACAACCTGAACGACAACTTTCACTTAAAGATATTTTAATAATATATATCGTAATAAATATATTGTGGGATAATGTAGGCCTATTATTAAAGTAATTCACTTAACTCTCTAATTATATTTCTGGGTCAATACGGATGAAGAATTCGTACATTCTCACTTTGTGTTTTATTCACTGCAAAACAACTCACAAAATATGGTACGTCTACTGTAGGATTTATTTCACGAAGGTACAAAAATACATTTTAATACATAAACTTTAAGGTAAATTATTAAAATATATCAATATTTTTCAGCCCCTTAGCCGGACTTGTTGATCAGGTTTCGGTTGGGGGGGGGGGGGATTCAAATTTAAGTGCCACATCAACGTCAGTTCCACCACGGTTGGAGATGAACTTGAAAGTAGCACTCTTAGACTTTAAAAAACAATCATGTTTTTCAAAGTGCCTTAATTTAGCAGTATTTCTGAAGTTCAGTTTTAAATACATCAAATAGGAGAGAATGGTATATACTGTACCAGGAAAGTCTACACTCACCTCAGCCCACCCATGGTTGGGGCTGAGGCAAAAAAAAAACAAAAAAAAAAACAAAAAAAACCCCAAAAAGCAATGATGTCCACAATATATGCCCGGAAATTACATTCTCAAACTTCTAATATTTGTTCTAAATTGTCAATCAAATAAGTTTGAGAGAGCAGCTTACCTCAGTAGGCTAATCTGGTGGTAGCCGCTGTGTGTGCGCTGAACCGTGGAGATCCCTAGGTCCCTGGTTCAATTCCCATCGCTGCCTCTCCTTGTGTTTCAGCTAGAGGGCTGAAATACAAGTTAC